CATGCAGCATCTGCCCTCCACACGATGGCAATTCTGCAGGTTTTCCAGACGCGACTCCTAGGGTCCCTGGATATGGGAAGCCCGGACCCCGAGTTGCTCAGGAAACTGCGCACGGCCGCAGATCTCGCTTTGGCGGCGTCTAAAAAGGTCGCTCAGGGAATCGGCCGTAATATGGGCAGTCTTGTGGCTCTACATCGCCATCTGTGGCTGACGCTGTCTGGGATGCGCGAGACTGACAAGAGGCAGTTCCTGGACGCACCGGTAAGCCCCACGGGCCCCCCACGGCGAAGAGGGCGTGTTCCCGCCCAGAGTTCGACGAGAATGTGTTGACTTTGAAACCGCTGTGTTCTGTTTCAATAAACAAAGTGCATTACATGTCTCAGCAAAAGAGCTTTCTTCCTCCCAACAATATTACCCGCGTCGTAGGCAAAGCCTCTCCCCCGGGAGACGCTTCGCAGAGCGGAAGCTCGGGGAAACCCGAGAAGATGGCTATTTATGTCTCCGTGCAAAAAGCCGCGGACGAGCTATCTACCATTCATATAGCGGTCAATGCTTCCCCTGTGGCTGGCGCTCAGCCCCCGCCGCAGCATTCATTAAAGCCCCCCTTCTCGAGTCACCTGAGCGCGTGGTCGGCACTACCGACGGCATCACATTGGGTGTTAAACACAATAAAACGCGGGTATACGCTCCAATTCGCTCGCAGACCACCCCGCTTCGCGGTGTGATTTTGACAGAGGTGTCAGAACAGAGCGCTCCGTTACTTCGGGCAGAAATCTCTTCTCTCCTGGCCAAACAAGCAGTGGAGACAGTACCCGAAGAGCAAAAAAAATCCGGTTTCTACAGCCGTTATTTTCTAGTACCAAAGAAGGACGGAGGTATGCGCCCTATTTTGGATCTGAGATTACTAAACAAAGCGCTCGCGAAACGCGCGTTCAAAATGATAACAGTGAAGCAGATCCTCGCGCACATTCAGCCTGACGATTACTTCATTGCAGTGGATCTAAAGGATGCATACTTCCACATTCAGATAGCCCCGCATCACAGGCGCTTCCTTCGGTTTGCATTCGAGGGTGTGGCATACCAGTTCAAAGTGTTGCCGTTCGGGCTGGCTCTGGCCCCCCGTGTATTTACAATGTGCATGAATGCAGCGCTTGCTCCCCTGAAGCTCAGTGGAATGCGTATTCTGAACTATCTCGACGACTGGTTAGTCATCGCACGGTCGGAGAGTGTCCAGGGGGAACGCAAACACAGACTCCTCGCCCACCTAAGAGGTTTGGGTCTGTCTGTGAACATGCAGAAGAGCGCGCTTCAACCGTGCCAGTCCATCACATTCCTCGGTATGGTGCTGGACTCACGCACTATGATTGCAAAGCTGTCAGAGTCGAGAATCCAGTCGATTCAGAATACATTAGCCCTATTCGTTCAAGGCAGAGCTATCCCCTTAAAAACGTTTCAGAGGCTACTCGGTCTGATGGCAGCTGCAGCCTCCGTCTGCAGACTGGGCTTATTGCATATGAGACCACTTCAACACTGGTTACACAGACGCGTACAGCCGCGGGCGTGGAGAGCGGGAACGGAACGCCTCATCATAACGCGTTCGTGTCTGGAGACTCTAACGCCTTGGTTCGACACGACCATGTTCGAGCAGGGGGCTGCTTTGGGCAGAGTGGTCAGACGCGTAGTGGTCACTACGGATGCGTCACTGTCAGGCTGGGGAGCCCTCTGCGATGGCAGACCGGCATTCGGTACGTGGAGAGGAGACCAGACGCGCTGGCATATAAACTGCTTGGAGATGGAAGCGGTTCGTCTAGCGCTGCAGGTTTTCCTCCCGTTTGTGAAAGACCGTCATGTTCTCATCAGGACGGACAACACAGCGGTGGTGGCGTACATAAATCGCCAGGGAGGTTTACGTTCGCGATCCCTTCAGGGGCTAGCGAGACGGCTGTTATTATGGACAGACAGAGTACTACAGTCGATTCGAGCAGTGCATGTGCCGGGCAGTTTGAATTACGGCGCGGATATGCTGTCCAGGGATGGCATTGTGCACGGGGAGTGGAGGCTTCATCCGCAGACGGTAAACATGATCTGGAATCTGTTTGGCAAAGTGGAGATCGACCTCTTTGCATCACAGGAGAACGCCCACTGCCCACTGTACTTTGCATTGACGACAGCCACTCTAGAGGGAGACGCACTGTCGAGCCGCTGGCCGAAGGGTCGGAAGTATGCTTTTCCTCCGATCAAACTAATGCCGCTGGTGCTGCAAAAGATCAGGGAGGAGAGATGTGCGTTGGTTCTGGTAGCGCCCAAATGGCCCAACCAGCCGTGCTTCCCGGAGCTAGTGAACATGGCGCGTTTTCCCCCGTGGCGGATACCGCCGAGAAGAGACCTCCTATCTTAGGCGAAGGGCACGATATGGCACCCCAACCCAGAGCTGTGGGACCTGCATGTGTGGCAGATCAGCGCGGAGTATCACAGAGAGTGATGCAGACAATAGCAGAGGCTAGAGCCCCTTCGACGAGGCGCTTATACGCTCTGAAGTGGAAAGTATTCGCTAACTGGTGTGTTGACAAAAAGGAGGACCCCAGGAATTGCGATATTTCCATTATTTTGACCTTCCTACAGGAACGTCTGGATGTTGGCAGTTCGCCATCTACACTGAAAGTTTACGTAGCCGCTATTGCTGCTTTTCGTGATGTGCTGGATGGCCATTCAGTGGGGAAACACCCTTTGATAACGAGATTCCTCCGGGGAGCGAGGCGGCTGGTCGTCTCGTAATACGTTTGCGAGATTCTACAACTTGAATATTCCTTCATTCGCACCACATGTACTGTCAGTGCAGGGAGAGGGAGCTGAGCTGTCATTGGACTAGACTGCAGACACGCCCCGGCTGGCGCCCGCTCTAGCTGCGGTTTCGACCAAGTCTTGCAGACAGTGCAAGTTATTAGCAATAGCTATCATGCTCACTATATTTGTGTCCTTTTTTTATGCCCGCATTCATAAGCCGGCAGTGTATTCCTAAGCACCAATCACATTGCTGCAATCCCCATTCGCTTCAGTTCAGCGTTGCTTAACTATGTGGGAGGGGCTACGTTGATGCTTGTGCCGACTTGGCTCTGTGCCAATAGGTGTTTCAACCAGGTCCGGTGTCTGATCCCGAGCTGTGTGAGGTAAGGACTAGTGCTGTGCTACTTGAGCTCGTTGTGAGCTGGGCAGACTTTTCCCACGCGGCGGGGGTTTTATTGTTCCCCATACGTAATGTCGAGAGACCAACTCGATAAGGGAACGTCTCTGGTTACTCACGTAACCGTAGTTCGTTGAGAGGAGGGAACGAGACATTACGTAACCCAGGGGCGCAACTACCCCGTGTCAGAGGGGTATGCAGCAACAATTTTTGCTAAATAAGTGTGCCATGTAATAAGTGAGTAGGAACGAGTGAGAGCTAACAGATAAAAGTGCAAAATTTTCATTTATTAATACAATTAAACTATAGCTACTCCACCGTGATGAACCCCCCTAAAAAAACTATAAGCTCAATTGGAACAGCAATACCAGTGTTTCTCACAGGATTTTAGGTAAAACTGTGGTAGGTGGACCTCTGTTTCTCTAGGGGGGTTGGGGGGCATGCCCCCCCCCCCGTAAGAAAATTTTGTGTTCTAATGTTAAATTCAGCAGTCTGGTGCACTTTGAGAGTTCAAAATTAAAAGCTCAAACCCATATTCAGGGTGCAAATTAAACAAAGAAAAATTCAAACCTCTTTTAGTTAGTGTCTGTCTACATTACACTACTACATGATAATAGTTATAATATTAATCCCATGATAGTAGCCTAATAGCCATATATTGTAAAACAAATGCACTGAAAAATAAAGGAAACTTTCATAATTAGTTTTGTACTAATTTCTATACTTGAAAGAAATAAGCACATGATGACATGTTTCATGTGCCGGTGTGTCAGAAAAAAAAACTAACGCTGACTTTTTTTGACCAATGCATTACACCGGCACTAACTCAGCGCCGCCAATTAAACAAAAAAAAACAAAAAAAACAACAATAAAAACAATGGGCCGCCGATGTAGGCTACGAGTTTTATGAGCCGTTAAGACAAAAAAAAAAAAAAGTATGAGATGTATCGGCCGAAAAAGCACGTCGGCCCACCGGGAATCTCCCGGTAGTCCCGATGGCCACAGAGATAGCCTATGCCTGGATGTCACACTTTAAATCCTACCTGTTGGCTTTCAGCATGCACTTATTTAGCTGCTGTCGCATCAGTTGACATGCCATCTCCTTTTCCCGCTTTCTTTTTCTATTTTTAGCCCCACAGCATTTTGTTTTATCCATCTTTTTCGACGACAACTCACTACTCGTACCTGCTCGCTCAGCGCTCACGGCGCCCCCGCCCGCTCGCGATATCACCCCGCCCCCCTTCTCCATGAGGGCGCCTACTCTAGCCTGTTAGTCCTCTAAAATTTTATATAACGTTGAAGAAATGCAGAAATGATTTTAAAAACGCACAACAGCAGCTACATATAGAAAATACAATATATATATATATATATTTTTTTTTTAATGAAATTAAATAAAAAAAAATTTACCATCGCTTTGGCGCCCCCCATGGTGCTGCGCCCCTATGTGCCGCATATAGTGCATACCCACTTTTTGCGCCACTGACGTAACCTGCCGTGTGGGAAAGACTTACAGTCTCTTTACTCTCGTTCAGCTAAGATTCTGAGGTTTTTGGCGACCGCCGTCACCTATATTGAGGAGTGTCAGCCAATCAGGTGATGGCGGGATCGCCATTGGCTATTTGCAAGCAAAAGAGTTATTCAAATCAGACTTCATAATTCGAGGAGAAATGGATTCCCCCCATACGTAATGTCTCGTTCCCTCCTCTCAGGGAACTACGGTTACGTGAGTAACCAGAGACTTTTTCACCCGCTCGGAGCCTTCCCCGATGCAGAAGTGTTCTACTGTGCCGCCCATTGATCGAATGCGAGACTCCGGTTTCCTTAACAGATGTTTATTAACACCGTAGAACTAAAAGTTCAGATAAACAAACAAAAGACAACATAAAACATTGCAATCATTGCATGGATCACATGGCTTTGCACTGACGCTAAAGAATACAGAAAAATACTGACCACTTTAGCCTGCTTCTCAATCAACGGCAGAGTCATTCCCCAGAAGCAATCTTCACAGTCAAAATACGATTCTTTAACTTGCACACAGTTATAGCAAAACACCATGAAAAAATTAAGTAACAATAAAGAAATAACTAGAAGATAACATCACTGACACATGTGCGCGCTTTTCTTCTTGTCTGTAGCTCACTGCGCAACAGACAACAGACCTTCCTTCCGGTTTTACTCATGTCAAAATAAAAGTACGTATTTTAAAATAAATACAAAAAAAAACATGGCTGCATTTACATTTTGAATGTACTCAAATAAAAATATAAACTGTTTCGAAAGACATGTGTACTGTATATTGGGACTCGACTGAAGTACGAAGCCTTCTTTACATTAATAGTTAGAATCCAAATGTTACATTGCAAATATGGAAACTTTGAGACCGAATGAGAGATACGCGAAACCAACGTCGGTACAGTTTCAGTTTCGATTCAAATAATTTAATGTAGGCTTGCCGTTTAAAATAGGCTAAATGTTGTTTATAATATAGGGCACAATAGGCTATTTTTATAAGCTACTATATATTTTTATTATACGTGGCTACTTATTTTTTCATTCTTGTTGTTTTCTGAATACCATTTGTTTAAGGATTTGACAGTCTACAGTAAGGGGAAGTAAAATACGCATAGCCTATGTTATTAATATAGTGTTTATAATGTTAATGTTGTATTCTATTTACCGGTCTTTTACACTATTTGTGAATAGGCTTTTTTTGCGTTTTTCAAAGCTGTTTTTGAAAAAATAAATTGCGTCATAAGACGCGACTCTCTGTCGCACAGTACAGAAATTACCGTATAGACAGGAGGAGAAGCTTGCGCGCAATCGGGGGGATGTGGAGGCATAAAGTCAAGGGAGAAGCCCATAGAGAGTCATAAAGTTGCTCCTGCTGCTAGCTCATGGACAGCTAATACTCACGCTCTCAGTCTCTGCAAGATTCGGAAGGGAATGATTCAGATTCCTCTTGGCACAGCAACTAGAAGACGTACAACTGTCAGACAGGTTGCTCACGTCACATCTACGTCATCAAGCTCAGTTTGAGCCTGCGCAGTACGCTTGCCAATCAGGAAGTGAGTGCTTCTAATTGACTTCACTTTTCTCCGTTGAAATCTATGGGGTCGCTGTGTCCATTTCTTTTACTGTCTATGGTTTGACATTTGGCTGACACATCGGTCTGTGTACTTTTTGATCATTTCATTTCCTGTTTGGAATGGAATAACGAGAAATGAAAACCACCCTGTTTATTCAGAGATTTTGTCACGATTTTTTCATTTTTCGTTGGTGGTTTACAAATCGGTTTATGGGTTCGATATTTCATTTGCACAGGTGGGCGGTGCTGAAACGTCCCTTTCATCCGATTGGTCAAACTGCTCAACCTTCAGTACAAGCTTTTCTTTCTGTCAGGCAGAATAAGAGTCAGTACACGGCACTGACAAATGCATTTTAATAAAATAATGTCTGAAACCACCACTCACTGTTAACTACGCACAATATTTGAAGCAGAAATATGTTGCTGGTCATGTAATTCGTGCTGCTGCGACTTGCAAGCGACCCCATTAATGTAAGCCACAGTAGGCTTACATATGACAGATTATTTTAGCATGATGTATTTCCCATTGATAAATACAGTGCAAATAGTTGCGTCTCTTTGGATAAAAGGGAAGTAGAAATAAAAATCAATAATAGGCTCAGTGTCCCATCATCCTTCAGAAATCATTCTAGTATGCTGATTTTCTGCTCAAGAAACACTTTATATTATAATGACTATTAAAAACAGCTGTGCTAAATGTCTTTACTGTGACTTTTGATCAATTTAAAGCGTTTAATGTCTTGTTTTAATTTCTTACTTTAAAAAATAAACTCACTGACCACCAACTTTTGAATTTGAACAATAGTGTATATAAACATTTTATCCCTCTGTTAGATAACATTTTTTAAATGTTGCCACTTTATCCAAAGTGACCTATATCAAATATATGTAATCAGTTCAAGCATTCCCTGGATATCAAACCCATGACTCTAGCTTTACGAGAGCCCTGTTGTACTGTTTAAAGTACAGGAACACTCGAAGACAAGTCCTAGTTTAAAAGCTAATTTATATTTCCCACAATCCTCTACCTTCCAGTCGATGTTTCCATTGAAGAGTTCACTCTTGGCAATGTCCACTCTGTTCCATGTTACAGCAAGCTTCAACTCATCAGTATAGGGATTAGAATTGCCCGTAGCATGTTTTTTACTCGCTAACACACACACACACACACACACAAAGAGAGAGCAAAAATTATATACAGAAAAAGATTTAATGAATAGGTCCACTGTAGACCGAAGGGGTTCCAAGTTGAAGAGATGTAGAAACACTATAATAAACAGTTTAAAGTTTACCTTGAACAAGGACTTTAAGCATCACAGTGTCAAAATCATCCGCTCCTTCCTGTTCCGCGTTATAAATGCAGATGAGGTCTTTGTTTTGGTAGATGCTGAAAACCTTTCAGGTACCAGCCAAGCAACAAGAAGAAAAAACAGCACAAAAAACAATTCAGTTTTAGTATTTTGATGTTATATGATCGAATAAAGAGTGTAACATTTACCCTGTCAACATGTTTGTCCATCTCCTGCTCTGAAGGGAAGTATATCTTTACTTTCTCCGCCAATCGTTCTCTAAGCTCCATGTTGGGAGTCCCTTCCTCCTTCTCTGCTCCTCCAGTTGAGGGCATCGGAGCAGATTGTACGTTCTCCACGATGTCACACACAAGATTGGCAAGCCCCCCCGAACCAGCCAAGACCAACCAGGGCATGGAATTCTTCAGAGAGATATCTAATACCTGAAATGAAGAAACGTTGTAAGAGAGAATTAAGACATAGGACTGATGACATTTTACATGTAATTAAACTGGAATCTGCTCACCTCCAGCATGGAAGCTTCTCCAGATATCAGCATATTCAGAACAGGAATGTTAATACTTGCACTGCCTGCACATGAGATTGCGTTTTTTTAAGCAATTGCATTCAAGTATATAGTCCTCGATGCTTTTATTAAACAGATCTTAACCTTAAAATATAACACACATATATACATACAGAGGGCTGGATGATATGAATATTATCACAATATTTTTTTCCATATTATACGATATCGGTATATCATGATATTTATCACAAAATTAATTTACCATTAATGGGGGGGGGGGGGGGGGGGGGATTCTGTGTTTTATGATTTAATACAAATTGAAATAAACTTTACCAATTTAATCAAGTAATTGAATGAAAAATAACAATCAATTTACAACAAAACATTGCATTTGTATCATTTGTCAAATAAGACGCTGTAAAACAAAACTATAAATTTAAAACATTTCTACAATATGGAAAGGAATACAATTCTTACTCCTTTAAGATATTCTATGAACCCTCTGTGATATTCCTTAGAAATATTATTATTACTTTGAGAAGTACATTTTAGTATACAGTAGTGATATACACTCACCTAAAGGATTATTAGGAACACCATACTAATACTGTGTTTGACCCCCTTTCGCCTTCAGAACTGCCTTAATTCTATGTGGCATTGATTCAACAAGGTGCTGAAAGCATTCTTTAGAAATGTTGGCAAATATTGATAGGATAGCATCCTGCAGTTGATGGAGATTTGTGGGATGCACATCCAGGGCACGAAGCTCCCGTTCCACCACATCCCAAAGATGCTCTATTGGGTTGAGATCTGGTGACTGTGGGGGCCATTTTAGTACAGTGAACTCATTGTCATGTTCAAGAAACCAATTTGAAATGATTCGAGCTTTGTGACATGGTGCATTATCCTGCTGGAAGTAGCCATCAGAGGATGGGTACATGGTGGCCATAAAGGAATGGACATGGTCATAAACAATGTTCAGGTAGGCCGTGGCATTTAAACGATGCCCAATTGGCACTAAGGGGCCTAAAGTGTGCCAAGAAAACATCCCCCACACCATTACACCACCACCACCAGCCTGCACAGTGGTAACAAGGCATTACGGATCCATGTTCTCATTTTGTTTACGCCAAATTCTGACTCTACCATCTGAATGTCTCAACAGAAATCGTGACTCATCAGACCAGGCAACATTTTTCCAGTCTTCAACTGTCCAATTTTGGTGAGCTCTTGGTAATTGTAGCCTCTTTTTCCTATTTGTAGTGGAGATGAGTGGTACCCGGTGGGGTCTTCTGCTGTTGTAGCCCATCCGCCTCAAGGTTGTGCGTGTTTTGGCTTCGCAAATGCTTTGCTGCATACCTCGGTTGTAACGAGTGGTTATTTCAGTCAAAGTTGCTCTTCTATCAGCTTGAATCAGTCGGCCCATTCTCCTCTGACCTCTAACATCAACAAGGCATTTTCGCCCACAGGACCGCCGCATACTGGATGTTGTTCCCTTTTCACACCATTCTTTGTAAACCCTAGAAATGGTTGTGCGTGAAAATCCCAGTAACTGAGCAGATTGTGAAATACTCAGACCGGCCCGTCTGGCACCAACAACCATGCCACGCTCAAAATTGCTTAAACCACCTTTCTTTCCCATTCTGACATTCAGTTTGGAGTTCAGGAGATTGTCTTGACCAGGACCACACCCCTAAATGCATTGAAGCAACTGCCATGTGATTGGTTGATTAGATAATTGCATTAATGAGAAATTGAACAGGTGTTCCTAATAATCCTTTAGGTGATTGTATTTCTGTCATAATTTCTTGAAGTTAAACCGAACTTTTATTTTTTACGGTTTGTCGTGAATATCTTTCAGTTTTAGTTTCAGTGAATTAGCAACATTCACTGACGGGCTGTTGTTGCGTTTATTTCCCCTGTGTGATAGACTGTTTGATTAATCCAACAGAGTAAAAATGTCCACAGCTTATTATCGTTATCATCGTTATCGCCCAGCCCTAATACACACACAAACACGCGCACACACACCCACACACACACACATATATATATATATATACATATATATTAATTCATTTTCATTGATTTTCATTAATATTTCAGTTCTCTGTATCACTGAACTCATATTAATGTCATACTTGAACCTCATACCTG